GAATTCCAATGGCGGGCACATGCACGCCCACAAAGGATTGTCCGCCCGTTCAGGTTTGCCCGCCTGTCTGAGCCCGCCGCCCCCCGCAAAAAGAAATAATCCCCCCCCAAGGGTGTGTTATCAAAGACAATAAGGGCGGGTATCGAGGGTGTGGGGGACTCGTTTTGAATGGCACACGGGCAAGTAAGAACGAACAGTCTTATACTGATTGTTGTTGTTGTTGTTGCCATTGTTGTTGTCGATGTCGTTGTCGTTGTCGTTGTCGTTGTCTTTGTCGTTGTTGTTGCTGCTGTTGTTGTTGTTGTTGTTGTTGGTGTTGCTGTTGTTGGTGGTGTTGCTGCTGTTGTTGTTGTTGTTGGTGGTGGTGTTGCTGTTGTTGTTGTTGGTGTTGTTGTTGTTGTTGTTGTTGTTGTTGGATGTGGTGATTGGTGGTGTGGTTGTTGTTGTTGTTGTTGCTGGTGTTGTTGTTGTTGTTGCTGTTAGGGTTGTTGTTGTTGTTGTTGTTGAACATTATTAATTCTAAAGAATAATTATTGTTGGGCCCCCTGGTGCGCGCCCCCCCCGCCGCGCCTAGGCCGCAGCCACGTTTTCATCATTTTCGTGAGGAAGCCTCAGGTAATTCGAGGTGATCAAGATCCGGTTGTTTTGTTGTAGTCCGTTTTCCCTTGCAAAAAACATTATAAAATGACATTTCTTGTTCTAATATAATCAAATTTCAAGAATCCCTTGCAAAAAATAAGGTAAAGTGGACATTCGCGCGCGCAAGACGAAATCCTTCCAAAAGCTTAGTGTTCGGAACGATTTTAACATAAAAACATCAAAAAACCAATGGTTTTTCAACAAAAAAATGTCAAAATCTCATCCCGCGCGCTCTTGCGGATTCGTAGGAAACCCAACACTTTTTAAACATTTCTGTCAAACGGGCTTTTGCGAGCAACTTTTTCGAACTTCTGCGACAACGGTTGCGCACCTGCCAGGGCCATCATCCCTGTCAAATAATACCATGCGGGACACATTCGTTTTTTCTTCGCGCGCGCACGCCGAAATCTCCAAAAACCATTGGGTTCTGTGGGTGTGTACCCCACGCCAGTGTAGTAGCCACGGTCGTCCGCACGCCACGAAGTGAAGTGTCCCAACGTCATAGGGCGGGAAGCTGGGTTTGGGTGGTCGCGAAGAGTCGTTTGGATATTTGGTAGAGCTTGTAATGCCCCCCCACGAAGTGGGGGTATTGCCTGGTGTCGTATGAAAACCCTGGCACTGGGGAGAACACCACGCGTTCGGGTAAAATGATTGTTGTTGTTGTTGTAGTTGTTGTTGTTGTTGTTGTTGTGGTGGTGGTGGTGGTGGTTGTTGTTGTTGGTGTTGTTGTTGAGTTTCCATTTCTGAAGAATAATTACTGTTGATCCCCCCACCAGTGCATATTGTTTTACCTACAACGAAGACTGATAGGTTTCGGTTTCTAGTAGTGTCAAAAGAGAGCATCTTGACTCCCCAGGGGGGTCTGGGCAGGTGCCGGGGCGGAAGTTGTTTTAAGCAAACAGTTACACACTTCGTGGTCTTCGAGGTCCCAGAACTCCATTCCTGGGCATGATTTTGAATGCCCGGAGCCAACTGTAGGCCACTTCGTGGCCTTCGAATTCCCAGAACTCCATTCCTGGGTATGATTTTGAATGCTCGGAGCCAACTGTAGGCCACTTCGTGGTCTTCGAGTTCCCAGAACTCCATGCCTGGGCATGATTTTGAATGCTCGGAGCCAAGTGTAGGCCACTTCGTGGTCTTCGAGTTCCCAGAATTCCAGTCCTGGGCCACATTTTGAATGCTGAGGCAGGCTGAGGCTGAGGCAGGCTGAGGCTGAGGTCGGCTGAGGCTGAGGCCGAGGCTGAAGGCAGACTGAGGCTGAGGCTGAAGCAGGCTGAGGCTGAGGCTGAGGCAGGCTGAGGCTGAGGCTGAGGCAGGCTGATGCTGAGGCAGGCTGAGGCTGAGGCTGAGGCTGATGCAGGCTGAGGCTGAGGCAGGCTGAGGCTGAGGCCGAGGCTGAAGGCAGACTGAGGCTGAGGCTGAAGCAGGCTGAGGCTGAGGCAGGCTGAGGCTGAGGCAGGCTGAGGCTGAGGCTGAGGCAGGCTGAGGCTGAGGCTGAAGGCAGACTGAGGCTGAGTCTGAAGCAGGCTGAGGCTGAGGCTGAGGCAGGCTGAGGCTGAGGCTGACGCAGGCTGATGCTGTGGCAGGCTGAGGCTGAGGCTGAGGCTGATGCAGGCTGAGGCTGAGGCAGGCTGAGGCTGAGACCGAGGCTGAAGGCAGGTTGAGGCTGAGGCTGAAGCAGGCTGAGGCTGAGGCAAAGGCAGGCTGAGGCCGAGGCTGAGGCAGGCTGAGGCTGAGGCAGGCTGAGGCTGAGGCTGAGGCTGATGCAGGCTGAGGCTGAGGCAGGCTGAGGCCGAGGCCGAGGCTGAAGGCAGACGAAGGCAGACTGAGGCTGAGGCTGAAGCAGGCTGAGGCTGAGGCTGTGGCAGGCTGAGGCTGAGGCTGAGGCAGGCTGAGGCTGAGGCTGGCTGAGGCTGAGGCTGAGGCTGATGCAGGCTGAGACTGAGGCAGGCTGAGGCTGAGTCCGATGCTGAAGGCAGACTGAGCTGAGGCTGAGGCAGGCTGAGGCTGAGGCAGGCTGAGGCTGAGGCAGGCTGAGGCTGAGGCTGAGGCAGGCTGATGCTGAGGCAGGCTGAGCCTGAGGCTGAGGCTGAAGCAGGCTGAGGCTGAGGCAGGCTGAGGCTGAGGCCGAGGCTGAAGGCAGACTGAGGCTGAGGCTGAAGCAGGCTGAGGCTGAGGCTGAGGCTGAAGCAGGCTGAGGCTGAGGCTGAGGCTGATGCAGGCTGAGGCTGGGGCAGGCTGAGGCTGAGGCCGAGGCTGCAGGCAGACTGAGGCTGAGTCTGAAGCAGGCTGAGGCTGAGGCTGAGGCAGGCTGAGGCTGAGGCAGGCTGATGCTGAGGCTGATGCTGAGGCAGGCTGAGGCTGAGGCCGAGGCTGATGCAGGTTGAGGCTGATGCAGGCTGAGGCTGAGGCCGAGGCCGACTGGCAGACTGAGGCTGAGGCTGAAGCAGGCTGAGGCTGAGGCTGAGGCAGAGGCAGGCTGAGGCTGAGGCTGAAGCAGGCTGAGGTTGAGGCTGAGGCAGGCTGAGGCTGAGGCTGGCTGAGGCTGAGGCTGAGGCAGGCTGAGGCTGAGGCTGTGACTGCGACTGCCGTTGCCACTGCGACTGTCATCGCGAATGCGACTACGACTGCGAGAACAGCAGAATTCTACAACTGGATTCTCATCTGAATCTTACGTGGAATGCTTCCAGATATGCTCCTACACATCGCTGTTAGGTTGCTTTGCCGGGATAATTTCTCAATCAAAGTGTGCCCCTCGACGCTCGCACACTGTTTTTTGACAGGGAAAATCTTCATGCTCAAACTGGGCCCTTGGCCCCCGGGTTACAACAACGGCTCCCGCTTGCGACCTCCTTATAATTTAGCCAGGACCCCCGCTCCCGCCCGAGACTTCCTCGCATTTTATTCAGGAATCGCGCTCTCGCTGGGGACTTCCTTCTTACCATTTTATTCAGGAATCGCTCTCCCGGCGCTCTGGAGTCGCGCTCTCGCTGGAGACTTGCTTGCAACTTACTGAAGAATAGCCTTGCGTTGGAATTTCCGGCAATTTGCCCAAGCGCCGCGCTCCCGACACCCAAGCACCCAGGAGTCGCACCCGTTGTGGCCCCATGTGCATGCCCTTCGTGGCCCCGCTGTCGCCATTTGTGTCCCCCTCACTGTCCTACGTGGCCCAGTTGCTACCCTCAGTGGCCCCGTAGTTGCCTTCTGTGGCCCCGCATTATCTGCACTTCGTGGCCCCCGCTCGTTCGCGCTCTTCGTGGCCCCATACGCATTCCTTTCGTGTCCCCGCTGTCGCCCTTCGTGGCCTACTTCGTGCCCTTCGTGGCCCTGCTGTCGTTCTCTCTCGCTCTCGCTTTCGCTCGTCGTCGCCGTCGTCGTCGTCGTCGTCCGTCGACGTCGTCGTCGTCGTCGTCGTCGTCGTCGTGGTCGGTCGTCACCGTCGTCGTTCGTCGTCGTCGTGGTCTTGGGGGCATGTCGTCGTCGTCGTTGGACACGTCGACGCGTCGTCATACCCGCGGCCGATCAGCGCTGCCGCTGGCCAGGCCGACGGTCCGCGGCCGCCCCGCCGCTTGCCGGGGCCCGGCCTGCAGGGAAGAAAGGTATACCCCCCAAAAGGGGTTCGATCGAAGACGAAGAGGGCGGATATCGAGGGTTTGGGAAATGCGCGTTATTGGACACTCGAGCATATAAGGGCGAACAGTCTTAACATGATGGTTGCTGTTGCTGTTGTTGTTGTTGTTGATGTTGATGTTGCTGTTGTTGCTGTTGTGGTTGTTGGTGTTGGTGTTGTTGTTGTTGCTGCTGCTGATGTTGATGATGTTGCTGTTGCTGTTGCTGTTGCTGCTGTTGTTGGTGGTGTTGTTGTTGTTGTTGTTGATGTTGTTGTTGTTGTTGTTGTTGTTGTTGTTGTTGTTGTTGTTGTTGGTGTTGTTGTCGTTGTTGTTGTTGTTGTTGTTGTTGTTGTTGTTGTTGTTGTTGTTGTCGTTGACGTTGACGTTGTCGTTGTCGTTGTCGTTGTCGTTGTCGTTGACGTTGTCGTTGTCGTTGTCGTTGTCGTTGTTGTCCATGTCGCTGTTCCGACTCTTGTCAACGCCGTCGCGGGCGTGTCGCGGCGAGGGTGGGTGGGTGGCGTGTGGGTCGCGACGCGGGTCGGTCGCGGCGGGGGTGGGTCGCTGGTGGGTCGCGGTGCGGGTGGGCGGCGACCCACCCGCGCCCCCGCACTCGTATCCGCAAATGCGGGGGACCAGGCAAAGAGAACCGACCCTCCTGGCCTCGGCCAGGCTGGCGCGTGCCCCATGCCAGGCCCGGGCTGACCCTGTAGCGGGGGCCCCGGTGGTGCCCGGCGGGTGCTAAATGCGCAGGACGTCTCCGCCACGTCCAGCGAGCCGTTCTACTCCGGGGGGTGCGTCCCCGTGCCCTGCCCCGCGAATTCGGAGAGCGCCAGCGGCTTCGTCGGCGACGGGGGCTGCGACTGCATGCCGGGCTACTCGGGCACGGTCGGGGCCACCGCGCAGGAGCCGTACTACGACGGCGCCTGCGAGCCGATCGCGGCGGAGGGCAGCAGCGCCCTCGCTTAGGCACGTAGGTAGGTTTTCAGGCTCGGTCACCCCTTCTCGGGGAAACGTGAGACTCGAGTAGATTGGAACTCGGGTTTCCCGACGTTTTTTGACGAGTGCGTCCTGGATTTTGACGGTCCAGTTTTCGTGGGATGTCTACAGCGGGAGCTCGCGTCAAACTTCAGATTGGGTCTCGCCAGTTGCATGATGGCCACGTCAGGCCAGCCCGAGTGCCCCGTACCCAAGTCTTACGTCTCCCCAACCCTTTTCGACCTTGAGATCCTGGCGTTGCCACTGTTTCGCAGCGGGCGATTGTGCCTTGTTTCGTTCCCTGGGGCCCTGACAGACCGATGCGGCCTGCAAACATGCAGCAGAAAGGTGGGTTCCACGGCTACTGTCGTGGTTTCTCGCGGCGCTGACTTTCTGTTCCCGCAGCGTCGGATCTCATGGGAGCCCACCACTTTGTCAGTTCAACGGGGGTACGTCTCGAGGCGCAGAAAGTAGGCCGCGCCGCGGCCACTGGCCGTCGCGCTCGAGTCCTCGCTAGCGTCATGGTCCGCGCGGCAGTGTGCAGACGATCGGCGCAGCTTGGCATGCTTCGTGGCGAGGGGGAGTAGAAGTACAGTGTGCGACGGCTGGGGGGTCCGAGGTGGTCCAACATCGGTTTCGCCGAGCAGGAGTGCGGGGGCGAGGTTCCAGGATCTGCGTGCGAAACGTTTTTTTTGTTTTTGTTTTGTTTTGTTTTTCGGTCCACGGGGGCCGCTTTCGGGCCCCGAGAAAGGATGTCAAACTCGGATCCAGGATGAACAGCTACACCAGATGGGGCGTCTGGGAGGCGATTTGGGGCGGATTCGCCTTGGTCCCTCTCTTGACATATTTTCTCGGGGCCCTACCAGCTCAGACCCCCCTGCCGCCTCCGAGAAGGATTACAGGGTGCGACGGTTGACTACGCCGCACACGTCGCACACGTCGCACACGTGGGAGCTCGAGGCGTCCCCCCGCCCCAGAGTTGCGCTTCCTCACTCGGGGCGCGCTCCTCCAGCTGCATTCGTGCTGCCCCCGTAGTGGGGGAACAAGGAATGACAAACACAAAAACTCGGAGGTCCGCGCGGATTCTTCGGATCGGCGCTGGGACCAGAGGCGCCGCCCCTGGCGCGCTCCGCGCACCATGGAGGGGTTCCAGCGCAGATCCTAGAAATCCGCGCGGGCCTCAGAGTTTTTATGTGTAGGTCACCATGTGTCCCCATATGTAGTGGGGGCTGCTGTCGGTGCTCTTGTGCGTGGTTGAGTGGAGTGGTCGTGCGTGGAGCAGGTGCCCGAGTCCACGGCGCAGATGTGGCGGTCTTGCGGCTCCCGCAGCGCCGTTCGCAGGGCCTCCTCCTCTTCCTCCTCCTCCTCCTCCTCCCTAATTAGGCCCCCCAGCAGAAGTTTGGCACGAAACGGGGCCTCCTG